AATGGGCATATTCAACTTAAGTGGGTTAATTTCTCTATCATTGGGCTTGAAGAACTTCAAATGGGCCTTGTAAATCCGATTTAAGCTTTTGAGTCGAAACTTTTAGACTTAAAAGTCCAATTTGGCCGAACCATCTTGTCTTGATGTTTTAGGCCAATGTTAACAAAGCTAAAGCTACCGATTCAGACTCATTTTCAAGTATTTCCAAAGTCAACATTTTAGACATATTTTTCGATTAATATTCATCAAGCTTTGGTCCATAATAATGGTCGTCGAATTCAAGGATTTTCTTCCAATTTTAAGGAGTCTTGTTCAAAACTTTGTTGAATCCAATATTTTTAATCGTTAGATCCTGTGCAACTTTAATTCATCTTTACCGAGTAACTTTTTTTATGCAAAAAACTATATGTAATTTTTTATTTTAAAAAATAATATCTAAATCAAATCAACCTTTATGAGAAAATTCACACATTAGTTCTTTTTAGACTCGAATCAAAACTTATCAAGAGTTTAATTTGATTCTTATGGCATTCGAGTGACTTACCACTTCCTTTCTACCCATCTAGAGTGTGTTGTCCATATCTTTTTTAATCCGATTTGGCTTTTCGAGATTTCTTTCTTGTTCGTAGGTTTTTTAACCATCGAGCTAGATGGATTTATATCGGTATATCTTTAAAAAATAATAATATTTGTCTAGTTGAATTGCAAAATGGTAAGTATTTCTAGCTAAGTTTGATATTATCTGCATAACAAGAAAGGAGGTGAAAGGCGGCGTAATCGCTAACTATTTGTCGGACAATAACAATTTCTCTTCTTCTTTTTTCTTTGCTAGTCTTTTCTCTCTTTCCTTTCACTTTTAGCCCTTTTTTTATCGCCAATAAATGAAAATGTGCCAAACCTCTTTTCTTCACATTTCCTCTAACTTATATTTTTATTTTTTATTTTCTTTTATTTCTTACCCAACTAGTCGTTGATTCCCATTAATCATCATCTCGACCATCAATCTATCCCTCATCAAATGCTATTTCTCCGGTTTTTTTGTTAAGGGAGGCTTTTCTTGTTTTGGATTGGTCTATTTTTGCAAGCAAATTTGGAGGCACATAACATGGAAGAAAGGCGAAGAGTTAAAAAGATTTTTGGTGAGTTGGTAGAAAGAGAAAGATGTAATACATGTCCAGTTAGCTGGAGTTGTTGTTTTAGCAGATTTGGGTTGGCTCAAAGCTAGAATTTTGCTAAGCGAATGTGTTTTCCGGAGAAGACGATGAACATGAGAAGGGGAAGGAAATTTTAGAGGGCTTAATTTCAAGAAACGAATGACATGTCATTTTGGAGTTTGGGGTTTAAGTACGTCCTTTCATTCATGCGCTTTTCTATCCTAGTTCTTGTTCTTTTTTTTCTCCCTTCAATTGGATCCTTAATTTTGTACTTTTTCCGTCCTTTCTCTTTTGATTTTTACCAATTTAGTCCACATTTGCTTTTATTTCCTCTCTTTAATTTTTTTGTTATTTCCACATTGGCTCCTATTTCTTTCAAAATTATTCTCAATTTCACCCTCCTTTAATTTCTCTCTCTCTCTCTCTCTTTTATTCCTTTCATTATCATGTATGTATGTGTGTATATATATATATATATATATATATAATTCATCAAAAATAATAAAAAAATGAACCAACTTATTCAAAGACCTTTTCTAAAAAAAAATAATAATGAAATTACTAAAAAACTAAACCAAATGGGGGTGAGATTATTCATGCTATAGTCCCCCTCTTTTTTCTCGCTTTTTTTGCTTTTCTTTTCTTTTTCTTAACCACCCCCCTTTTTTTCCCCCTTGCCTTTTTTCTTTTCTTTTCTTTTTCTTAAAGACCTAAGTCGCTAAGCTGGTCATTCACAGTCTTATTGATGTAGCATCTTTCACGATCCTATTACTATAGATTTTTTAATTTTTTTTCCTTGAATAATATCTCTTTTTTCTTTTTTCTTTTTTTAACGAGTTGGTTATATATATATATATATAAAACTTTGAAATAAAATTTTGGAACATGATTGTTTTATTTTTTAAGATATATTATTATAATTTATACGATCGATTATTTTTATAATTTTTATATGAAAATGGTGGTGTTGCTTATATAAATTCTAATGAGAGAGAAAGAGCTAAAAGTGTGTTTTAAATAATTTGACTTCATTTTTTTTTAAAAATAATTAGTTAAAAAAATAATTTGACTTGAATTTTTTTCAAAAAATTAATAATTATTTAAAAAAATTCACAATTTTATTTGGTTATATATAAATATATAATCAAAATTTATTTAAATCAATTTTCTAGTAGTTTTTATTTAAAGCTATTCACTTCGACATATTCCATATAACACACACACACACACACACACTAACTAGGCACGACCACTCGCTCTTTTTTTCTTCCTATAATTTATTTTATATTTTTAAAAGTCTAGCCACCAATCTCATGACAAAACAAAAAAAAAGTTGGCTAATTATTTTAAATCTTGATGTGTTTTGGGATTGGATCACCAAGAGGCAAAAGAAAACTCTTAAAAGAATATACATATTGTCATAGCAGAAGTGCTATACAAGTTAAACAATCATATATAATTGGTCCCTTCATCAAGAAAGAAAACATATATATTATTGGTACTTTTAATGTCCGTGAATTAATATTAATTATATCTTTGATATTGATGTTAACATATATATCTGATTATTTTATTCTTATTGTTTAAAATTTATTTCTTTAATTATTTTTTTCTTATTAAAATTCTCATTAAATTAATTTTTTTAATTTTTTGATCTAATTTTATTTGTTAATAAATTTGGTTTTTTAATATATAAATTTTGGAATAAAAATTTACAACTTCAATGTTTTATTTTTTAAAAAATATATTATTATAATTTATATAATAAATTATTTTTATATTTTTAAATGAGTGTTTTACTTATATATATATATATAGACACACACACACACAAAGAGAGAGCTAAAAATATGTTTTAGATAATTTGGCTCATTTTTTTAAAAAATAACAATGAGTTAAAAAAATTCACAAGTTTTATTTGCTTTTTTATATATATTTATTCAGAATTTATCGAACCAATTTTGCTATAGTTTTTATTTTAATCTGTTGACTTTGATATATTTCTACAATTTAGGTGGTTTTTTTTTTTACTATTTATTCTATATACTACGAATATATATAGTTTTATTAAAAATTAACTATATATAGATTTGATTTATATTAATCGCTAAAAATAAAACTTTTTACTCGCATTACAATATACGAATTGTTAACCCTATATATGTAGCGGTTGTTTGCTCGTAATGTAAGCGCAGGTATCCAACTAGTTTGCACTAGAAATTTGTAAGTCTATTTTTTTTTTTTTGAAATACCCGAATTAATTGAAAAACAAAAATCCTAATTTTCCCTCTTTTTTTTGTGTGAATATTTTGACATTTTCTTTGAAAATTATGAGGATAAAAAAGAAGAAGCAAAAATAAATCGAACCGGATCGGGTTTACAACAAGGACAACCATATAGTTTATCCTGAAAAAACTCTCTCGAAATTAAAGGATTCATAAAACAATATAATAATAATGTTATATCCTAAAATTTATTTTATACACTAGGGTCTCGAATAAAACTTCTAGGGAAAAACCATTAATCTACCCCTTATACATCACACAATTTTTCAATTTTACCTTGTGTGCAAAAGTAATTCAATTGCAATCTTTACTTATCCATGTTCTTTATTATGCTCAACAGTCAATATTTATTTTTATTTTATTTTATTTATTTATTTATTTATTTTTGCTTTTTTCTTTATCTAGAACAATTGATTGTTTATTTTTACATATTCTCCAAAGGACAATAAAGTCAATTTAAAACTAAAATATCATGTGCAATGCATGTGATTGTTGATTTTAACAGAAAAAGATAAAATTAATCAATAGACATATTAGAGAATATGGATACACTAACCATTGCAATTCATTATTATTATTTTTTTATTTTAAGAGTATGAATGACAGAAAAAAAAAATGTTTCCCTACACTTTTATCCGTACCATGCATGCTTTTTATCTATTCATAATTTCATATCATATAAAAAAAAGTTTTATTTGAACAAAGAAACGAAAATAAGTAATATTATAATACTATAATATTTTTTTATTGTGATTTTCAACATTAAAATATAAATATTATTATCCTTTTCATCTATTGATAAGTTTGATTTTGTGTTTATAATGAGTTATCGATAATTTAATCTCTACTTTTTAACAACATTAATTAATCTTCATGATTTTAGAAACTATGTATTTAATTTTTATATTTAAATTTTTTTTAATATAACTTAGTCCCTCTTTTAATTCCGTGTTATTTTTTATTTTATTTTATTTTATTTTTTAAACAATAAATAATAGGTTAGTAAGATGAAAAATTTGGATTCCAAAAAAATGACATTTTTGGAAAGAAAAAACAAAACTAAATCAATAGCTGGATGAGGTATTATTTATGATTTTTGATCAAATAGGACTAAATATAGGGATTAAGATATAATTAACTCTTTCTAGACATAGAAATCTACTTTAATAATTTCAACTTATTAAAAAAAATAATAATAAATTATCTAAATAAAGGGGGAGAATACTAGCGTTACTTCCCCGTCAAAGCAAAGTGAAATAGACAGTGAGAGAAGAGAAGACAGAGAGAGTAAATGCGCTTTGTTTTTTATTCATCAAACATACAAAGAACGAAACCAGTATTAGATAATAACAACATAAAATAATAATAATAATAATAATAATAATAATAGAGAGAGAGAGAGAAGGGATTGGTAGTGGTATTGGTGTCCTTCAATGGCGCCCGTTGAAACTGAAACCTTCTTTTCACTTTATAACTAAAAAAGAAATTCAATTCCGCAGGCCACCAAAGGAAAAGGTTAGGAGGAGAAAAAAAAAAACAGAAAAGCGAGCGAGCGAAGAAGATGGGCTGGAGAAGAGTATTGAAATCAGTACAGGCACTAGGGGCACACTGTCTTCTCTTTTCTTTCACTCTCTTCCTCGCCCTCAAGCTTGATCACGTCATCTCCTACTCTTGGTGGTCAGTTTTTTTTTTTTTTTTTGATGTGCTGATTTAATTTTACTGAATTTAGTACCGTAGATTCCACGAATTTCACAAATTCGTGGGTTTTTTGTTTTTTAGAAAACTTGAATTTCATACATGGGATGGCTTTGTGGGAAATTGAATTTAGTCATAGAAGATGTGTGCTATGAGATAAGGTAATGAAATAGAATAAGGTGGTTTGGGAAAATTTTAAATTTTTTTCAAAATAGCAGTCAGCCCTTAATGATGCTATCATTTTTTTTTCTTTCTTTTTCCTTAAGCATACACGTTGCTTGAATATCTCGATTCCTTCCTACTATGTTGTGCGGAGTATTTAATGTTCAGTTTGTTAAAGCTTGAACGATAGATAATGTTTATGCCTGAATTCTATTTTCAGGTTAATTTTCTTCCCACTCTGGGCATTCCATGCAGTTGTTGCTCGAGGAAGATTTTCGTTACCTGCTCCATCAGTTCCACGTAATCGTCATGTAATATTTCCTTCTTTAATTTTTGTGGCCATGAGTTATTTAAAACAATCATTATTTGTGAATATAAAGTGTTGAGATTTTCTTTCTTGGACAGTGGGCGCCGTGCCACGCAGTCGTTGCAACACCATTGCTTATTGCGTTTGAACTTCTTCTTTGTATATATCTCGAAAGTGTTCATGGTATATAGCAAATGCCCTCTAGCATTTTATGTTGTCGAGGATGGATAAGTGTTAGCAACCTTTTCAAGTCCTAGTTATTCTGTTTGTCGTTCTGTAAAGTGCTTAGCCTTCAAACTTTCTTATGCTTTATCCACTTTTGCAGTTTATCATACTGCAGCTGTAAACTTGAAGATTGTCTTTATTCCATTGTTGGCATTTGAAATAATTATTCTAATCGACAATTTCAGGTATTTTTTTTTTTTGACATATTAATTTGTCTCAGATAGGCGGTTAATATCCCATACTACTCTTGCATAGCGCATCTTGGCAGTGAACTTTTGTAATAGGCCAAGCTCTTTCTTCCTTAACTAGTTTTTCCATAACTAGTTCTAAGTCATTTCCAGGCTTAAACAAAATGCTTTACTTTAGTGGTCATCTTATAACTTTTCATTCTTTTTTGTTGGACAAATCGAATGCCTATTGATTGCTATGTGGGCTTAAATGAGCACAACATGCCCAATGCTTGCCTTGATTGTTCTTTTACACTAAATACTTCTTCCTCCAAAGGATTCAATCTGTTTAGACTATGAAAGGATAATCACACCAAATGTATACATAAAGGATCATGTCTGGAATTTTCAACTAAATGCAAGTTCTGTTCACATTATGCTTGCCATCATTTTTCTCTATTGGTAATTATTGTAGCATCATTGGCAAGTTTGTAGACATGTTGTCTTTTCTGCTTTACACTTAGCACTTCAATTAACCTCCATTCCTCCTCCCATATACAAGTCTTTTTCCAAATTGATAATGCCAATTATTGAGTAATACTGTTAACAGAGTTTCATTTTTTCGACAGAATGTGCAAGGCTCTAATGCCAGGAGAAGAAGAAAGCATTAGTGATGAAGCGATATGGGAAACATTGCCTGTAAGTTTGTCATAGGACTAACTTGGAGAGCTGTTCAAACCATGCCATAGTTTAGTGTTTGTTCTGTGGCTTATAACTCATTTAGTAACATTTACTGAATTTATTTATCCCATTCTTTCCCCAAAAATATGTAATAATTTTCTTGACAGAGAGTAGATATTTGATAATATTACAAACATGTTGATTTGGAACAGTTTAAACCTCAAGGACTCAATTTTTTGTTGAAAGCAAATAAGGTTTCATGGCTGTAATTTTTTGTATTATCTTGTAAATTATCATTTGTTGTTTCTGGAGGAAAAAAGAAAAGAAGAAGGGGGAAAAAAAAACACAGAGAGAGAGTGTGAGAGAGGTCTTTGCATTTCATGGTTTGGATAATTCCAAAATTAGTATCTTGCTATAGACACTATTTTCATGCAAAAAATGCTGCATACAATTTATGCAAGATTTTAGCATTGTTACAAGTTTGGCATTTTTAAGCATGTCCCTTTTCAATTCATATGATGGTTTAGGTTGTATATGAATCTGTTCAAGGATTAATGAACTTCCTTTCTATTTTTGTAGCACTTCTGGGTTGCAATTTCTATGGTTTTCTTTGTGGCTGCTACAGTCTTTACCCTACTAAAGCTGTGCGGTAATCTTGCCTAACTCTGCATGATTTTTAAATACAATTACTTTGGTGCATTCAAATTAGTTAGGGATGTCATTTTTCCCCATTCATTTCATCTTTTTAGATAGTCATCATCACCACCCAAATTTCAATTATTTTATTTGATTTTTTTCCTCTCATGCGATTGTTATTATTTTGCTTTTGGGGAATGGAGATGGAGTAAGTAGACGTCATAAAAACCTTCTTTTGGTTATATAAGTAGTAGTGATTGATTATTTAAAAGGTATTCCTTGGGAAACACAATCTAACTTCCTCTGGAATGGGCAAAGACAACTTCATGAATTGTAGTTGGCATATGGAGCCTGGTGTCACTAGGGTCATTTCTGGCTTTGTAGAGGAATTTAGTGTTTGGTAGGTGAAGATTTTTTTTTGGAAGAAATATGGAGCTGTGCGACTGTATTAGCTAAACTTTCAGTTTATAAAAGTGTATTCTTAGAATGCAACATTGATAACCAGATAAATGATCCATTAGCTTGGATTGTTTGTACATGCTGTGAAAGTTACGTGTATCTGTAGTGATGTTTTCTTTTTCTCAGGAAAATATCATTTATCAGGTGAAAATGTCATTGGATTATCTTTCATGATAAATTAGCATCCCAAATTAAGTGGCTTGACAGGGTTGAAGGTTCATTTCAATGACAGGAATCTCATGGTTGTCACAGAATGCTGTGTTTAGTCAAGCTGTTCTTTGAAACATTTCTTAAAAGTCAGCATCTTGCATAGCTCATGTAAAACATGCTTTTACATGTCATTAAAATTATGTCTGAGTGCATGCGCTGCTGCAAACAAGATTTTGAATTCCTTGCTTGATTGGATGCCAACTCTTCCTCACTGACCTCCCTTGTTTTTGGTTCCCAGTTTTGTCATTCGGAATCTCCTTTCCTAATAAATTAGCATCCCAAATTAAGTGGCTTGAGAGGGTTGAAGATTTTGTGGTGGTTGTAGTAGTAGAATGCTAGATGTATAGACAAACAGTCGACCTTTGAAACATAGCCAAAAATAATATTTTTGCGTAGCTCATGAAATACATATTTTTGCTTGTCACAAATTTTGTGAGTGCATTTGCTGCTGGCACATAAGACATGGTATTTCTCCCTTCATTGGATACCAGCTCTTCTTTGCTGACATCCCTTATTTGGTTCCCGTTTTTGTTATTTCCTCAAAAAAAAAAAAAAATTTAATAATAATAAAATAATAATAATAATTGGTATTCAATTGCAATATGAGACTACACTTTAGGGAGAAAATTACTTTATTTTTCATTTTTCTGTTTGATACTTTGGAGGGTCTTTTTCACACGCTTATAATGTGTGTCGGGTTGGGGGGTGGGGGGAGGTGGGGAGGGGGATAATTCTTGACCTTGAATGTGGCAATCCTATCTATATCTACTCTCTACATGTAATGGTTCCCGCCAAAATAATGACTGGTTTCTTGTTTCTCAGGTGATGTGGGTGCACTTGGCTGGTGGGACTTGTTTATAAACTTTAGGTAAGGTTGTATTGATCCTTTCATTCCAATTACTGTTTTTCTCTACTACTTCAGAGTTCAGGCATAATAAAGTAGGAGGCATGTTCAAGATTTTAGTGCCACAATAAAGTGATAAAAGACATTTTTCTGCAGCATTGCAGAGTGCTTTGCCTTTCTCGTTTGTACTAAATGGTCTAATCCAGTGATTCATAGAAATTCTCGGACAAGAGAAGTTAGTTCATCTTCAACGACAATTAGATATCTTGATTGGAATGGTGGCCTAATGATTTCTCCTGAAGAGAATCAACACCAGGACAGAATGTGCGGTCTGCAAGATATTGGTGGCCATATTATGAAAATTCCTTTAATTGGTTTCCAAGTTCTCCTTTGTATGCATTTAGAGGTACTTACATAATTGACTTGTAATCGTGGCTGCTGGATGAGATTCTCTTATTAACAGATAATGGCTTTTTAATTCAGGGATCACCTGCTGGTGCTAGAAATATACCACTTCTGGTTCTTTTCTCTCCGCTTTTCCTAATTCAAGGTGCTGGCATGTTATTTGCTGCTTCTAAGTTGGCCGAGAAACTTATTCTTTTATTACGGAGTGAAGCTGGCACAGGAAGATATTTTAGATTTTCCTCAAGAGCTCATGACTGCTTGGGGTTCTTGCACCATGGTTCCAGGTAACCACTAACTTTCCGGCAGAAGCCTAACCTGTTAAGGCAATGCCATGACTACACTTAACCAATGGGAGTATTTGATGTGTTATGATTACTAGCTGACTGTTCTGCATCAACCAATTTGTTAATACAGGTTACTGGGCTGGTGGTCAATCGATGAGGGAAGTCGAGAGGAACAGGCTCGATTGTACCATGGGGAAGATGCTGGGTTAGTATATTATTCTTTTGCCTTACATTTTATAATGTTCCATAAACTGCAAAAGTATTTCTTTCTTCTCTGAGCATGTGCCATGTTGGATGACATATCCTCTGGCGATGTCAGAGAAAGATAAGGATATAGCAATAATATTGAGATCATCAAAACTGGATTTGACTCCTTCAATCTTGGAAACTGTAATTCTGCTTAAATTTGAATGGACTACAACATGAAAATTGTTTGAGGAACTGATAGATTTTATTTCTTTATATTTTTTTATTTTTAATGTTTGGAATTATAGAGAATCGTGAAATGAAAGATGCATATTGTGGAAACGTGGGGATGGCATTTTCACCCAGGGTACCCGGGAGTCATCTGACCAGATTGGGTGCTTACCCTGTTTGACTACGGTCAAACCAGGAGTGGGTAAAACCAAACCCATCCTGGTTTTACTGGGGCTGGGTGAGGGTTTCACCTGACCTGTACCCATGGTATTTTTAATTTATAATTCTTTATGTTTGGATTCCCATTTTGGACTTTATTTTATGGTTTCTATGGTGATTGTGATATAGGTGGAGATTTATTAATTTTTCATGTTTTAATTCTTTAGAATGTGATATCCAATGATGTTTTTTTCTATAAAAAACTTGGGTTGGGTTGGGTACCTGGCTGGTACTAAATGGGTGGACAAAGCCCTCCACCTGACCCAACCTGACCGGGTCAAGTGTGGAGTAAATGATGGTTGTAGTAGGTATTCCTGGTCAGGTGCAGGTACACTAAAACCTGCCCCGACCCGACCTATTGCCATCTCTAAATGGAAGTTAAAAACGCTATGAACCTAGATTCAGCAGCACACATGCAATACAATATTAAAGGTAGCATTTCTACATCTTTAGTTATCTTTGTTGACACTAGATATCCTCAAATCACAATTGATCAAGCATCCTCAATTTTTCTTTTTTGAATTGTCTTCATGAAGTATTATATTCTCTCCCTGCTCCCTCCTTGCCTTTTCAATGGGTTACTTTTGGCTCTTTAGCTTTGTTGAATTAAATCTTTGGAGTATTTATAAATTTCATAAACTGTTAGAAATCAGTGCTCTTTACTAATCTTTGCACATTTGGTTCATTGATGCAGTTATAATACTTTCTGTGGTTATCCTCCTGAGATAGTGAAGAAAATGCCTAAAAAGGATCTTGCTGAGGAGGTAATTAAGTTTTCATCGTTATTCTTTGTACTTTATTTGTTGCAATGGCAAGATTTAACATATAAATATAAGCATACTCTCTCTCTAGGCATTTGTTTAGTCTTTGATCCAAACATGGATTTTTATCGGTCAATGCAAATATTGTTAATGACCCTCTATTGTCCACATCTGCATTCATATACGATTCTCTATATCTCAGGTGTGGAGGCTTCAAGCAGCTCTTGGTGAGCAGACAGAAATCACCAAATATAGCCAGCAGGAGTTTGAAAGACTTCAAAATGTAATATTCTCATCTTTGACTAATGGTTTCATAATCAATGGAAATGGTCTGAATGGTTGAATATTATAACGACATTCTTTGGAAACCATCTCTTTTGTTTTTTTCAGGGTAGCATCCTTATTCCATGACTTAGTTATTTCTTATGGATCAGTTAGATTCATGTTTTACCCAAGTGTTGAAAATTAAAATTTGTTACTATCTGTGCCAAATTTTTTGTTTCTTGATGAACTACAATAATTTTCACAATGGTTGAGTTTCAATCTAATGTAATTCTGAATTTTGGCATGATATCCTTGTGAAAATTAGTTAGTCCTCAAATGAAAGATGATGGGGAGCATGAAAGAAACATGTTCTTTCCTTAGTGCATGCAGACATATGTATTCTTGTAATTTGAGACAAGTATACAGAAGATTATGTGGTTTATGTTTATAAATTAATCTCACTGAAGCATTTTCTAGTGATTTGAAATATGGATGTTATGCTGAGGATGATGACATTACTGAAAAAATCAATTTAAACAGACCCTGTTTTGAAAACTTTTGCTTTGCTGACCAAAAGTTCTCTTTAGGTTTAACTTCAATTAATCTCAAAGAAAGCTGTATTGATCAAGTATCTGAAATTCAGTCTCCAATTTTCCAATTGCAACATAAAATATGATTGTTGGTGTACAATAATTCGAATAATACTGTCAAGACATTATACATACATGAAAAACACATTTTGTGCAAAGTTTTAGTGCTAAAGGTCAAATCAGTTATTAAACGGAAATACATTATAGTGCACATAATATCTTGGAATTTAGATCTCCAATGCAATTTTCTTAGGCATAGAAAAGGAGCATCAGTTTATCAGACACTAGAATTATCTGAAATAAGGTATGAAAAAGCTTCATGCATTGCAAAAGATCCTGGTGTCTGTAAATAAGGAAGTTTGCTTTCTGTTGCTTGAATTTGCATTATTCTGTTGTCTGTTGCATGAGATATCTAAATGTCATTTTGATGTACTGGTCAGGAAAAGGTTCTATGCAGGGTGTGCTTTGAGGGAGAGATCAGCGTGGTTCTGCTCCCCTGTAGACATCGTATCCTTTGCAGGTATGGTCACTATCTTGATGTCTGCTAAAATATAAAGCTCATTGTCTGTCTCCCCTCCCTCTCTGTCATGCTCATTGATTCTTAAATGCATTGCAGCACCTGCTGTGAGAAGTGTAAAAAATGTCCAATTTGTCGTGTCTCTGTTGAGGAACGCTTACCTGTGTACGATGTTTAGCTTCTAACTTGCCCAGTGGTTTTGTAATATGGATTATGAATTGGAGTCAGCAGATAAGGTAATAACAGCTTTAACAGGAAAGTTCTTTTTACAGCTGACTGAATTTTTACTTCTGTGCATGCTGCTTGTTCAAATTAACATAATCTCACATTAGAACATGCTGGCACCTTTCCCTTTTCTTTCTAGAAAACAATTGTAAATAGGTTGTTTTTATGGGTGCAAGATGCTGACAAGTTTTTGACATGCCACGTATACCCACTAGACATGTAATAGCTTATTTCTCTGTATAAAAAATGGTTGTTGAGGTGGATGGGGCATATTTTCTTTTGGCGGTGGATGCTTGAAATTTGCTTCTGAGTCCTAATGTAGATACTCTTTGGTACTTTGATTTCCTAGGCAAGGTCTGTATGTTACCTTGCAAGTGATAGTTTGAGGATCCCCATCATATTGATGGTAAGAAAGATCTGATTTTCACTTTAGGCATGTCAGAAAATGAGATCACCTCAACTGTACGAGTTTAATCTATAGAAGAGCCAAAGATGAGCCATCACGCATTCCTCTAATACCAGAACTGTAGTCTTTGTTTTTACTCTACTGTCAATTTTAGAAGTTGGATTCGGAGCATTTAGCAAAAGAGTGTTGTGTTTGATTAATCTGTACTGTCAGCTGCTTCTTGGCATCTTTACTGTTTGCATTTACCCAATTTGTTGGTCATTGTCTTTCAGATTAATATGGAACTTATGTGCGTAGTTTGGTATTTGGAATGTTATGTTTTTAGCAGCAAGTGTAAGGGTTGCTTATTTCATTATTTGCAGACGATAGGGAAATGGACTTGTCTTTGTAAACAATTTGATGCATGCCATTATGAAGTTCGCCACCTTTTCTGTAGACTTTTATTGCGAACAATTGAACTGTTTAGAAAGCCAGATAGTTCAAGAAATATGCATTATTATTGCTAACGTGGTACCTGCATAACATACAAATAAAAATTCTGCAAGAAACAATTCTTTTTGCTAGATTCCATAGCATCTTCCTATCCTATGTAGGAAGAATATTTCAATAGATTTGCTGTTACAAACACAATCATGAGAGAATGGAAAATCTTTTGCCAAATATCATGCTGTGATGAATAAAGCTTCTTGTTTAGGATTCGGCATCATGATGCCATTCTTGGTCACTGGCTTGTTAACTAGTTTCGGGTTGCTGCCGATTATCTCAATTGCAAAATCATTGAAGCACTCATCAACTGTTCGAAATGGTGAATCTGGATAGAGCGAGCACACTTCAACATCAGTTGGCTGATCCATGCTGTAGTTTATCTGGCAGCTCTTAATGAATATGTCGTGAGTAATTGCAGCAACTACGCTCTGTGGGATCAGCATCTCTGCATACATGAAAACTGGCTGTGAAAACAGCTGGGGCATGCTTGATAAATTCATATTTGACCCTGGTTTTACTGTTGAAAAAGGGTCTTTAAAAACAAGCTTACCAAAATACAAGTAATATTTAAAAACCAACCTTTAGCAGCAGCTAGTAGATCGTCTTCCGAGATGGTCACTCTAGGCAGCTTGTATCCAAGTTTCTCCTCCCATAAAGAGGCAAGCTCATTAATGCTTAGCAGATTGCTTAGAGGTCTAAAATGAACAGTTTTGTTGAGTGTCCGATCATCGTCAATTGATTTTATTGTAAATTTTCCGATATCAGAACCAGCAACAAAGTATGCTGAGAATGTACAACACCATATCAATCATATTCCTTCAGAAAAATAAAATGAACATAATATATTGCTGTGAAAGGATGTACCTTTAACTGTCCCATCACCGTAGATTTGGAACCGATCCAATGGTGGAAGAACATCGGCAGGGTGAGTGTTGTCATGGTAAGGCCAGGCAGCAATGGAGTTGCAGCAAATATAAGTGTAGGGAATCCCAGCCTCTTCAATGGAACGTCTAACTTGTCTCTTTTTTTGGTACATGGTAAGCCCTGGCTCCACTGGCTCAGCTCTGTCTATGTCATGCCCAAATTCAGATGGCAAAAATCTCTGCGGGCAGAAGTTGCATTTCCGCATCAACTTAAGCTAGCAACGTTTGTATGCTTGTACATTGGCAATTTGTCAATTAAAACAAGATTCATGGAACCATTAATATTGGTTGATAGGGTGTTTTATTCTCGAATGTCGGCCAAATTGGTTCGAATATATCTCTTATTGTTGAATAAGAAAAAAAAAGTTATTTTATGAATCATAATAGTAAAAACTCAAAATCCCATTTTATTGGGATCAGTGTAATAATAAGTACATCTGTGAGTTTCTATCAGTTTTATATGCATTAGAATTTATGAATTTATATATCATGATATAATGGTTAGGATTGTTAGGGTTTTTTAGATGGATGGGTGAAACAAAAAACGTGCAAAAAAATGTTTTATACAGTGATTTAGCAAGGAGTTAATTAAAAACGAAAAAGAAAAATCCTATAGCAAGAACACTAAAAGGAATAGTAAACTATGTCTTATGCTACAGTAGTTTGAACAGGAAAACAGCCTTCTGTTTTAGAGAGTTCTTGTAATATGCCAACTTTAACATACTTCCCTTTAGAGTTTAGACATTACCTTAACAGTACCAGCTGCCTTAATGGCACTGACAAGCTTGACTTGGTCTGCTATGCTTTCACCACCAACCGCTGATATCACAAATTCAATCTTATGTTCTCTAATCACCTTCTCCATTAAATCTTGATCATCGACAGAGCCCTGGCATCACAGTCACCCTATGTCATGTATCTCATCAACAACAATTACAGATGTGTGTGTGTGTACATTTATTTATTAAACTAAAATTTAAATAAGAGGCCACAATTTGCATGGTTACATGTATGATGGTAGCTCCCCTGTCTTTGAAAGCCTTGGTGGCGGAGGTCCTGGAAAGGGAAGCCAGGTCGGGCCGGATCAAAAGGTAAGTCGGGCGGCCACATTCTAGGCTGGCCTCGGTGATGAACCGGCCAATGAACCCCATTGAACCGATAATCATGGTCCGACCGCTCTCCCATACAGTTGGAGAATGACCATTCATGTTTGTCTAGCTAAAGATGTTTCTGAAAAATATATATATTTGAAATGCAATTAACTTGTATGATAACAGCAACAAAAACAAGAATAAACGCCCTTGTATCCAAATAGAGAATTTATAGGGAGAGTGGGTGGCTAAAAATACCAAAGGGCTAGTGGGGTATTGACCAAAAGAAAGGCTGGTCCAAGTTATGTATGTGTTGGTAAAGGTGGGTAGGTGTAGTAGCTGGGCTTGTGGCTTTGATGCATGTGTTGGACCTCGACTGGTAGATGAGGACGTGAAGCGATGGAAGAAATGGTGAAGCAAGCATTTTGATCAGCAACAAAATATCTTGATTTGTCCATTATTTATTAATTACATCATTTGTTCAAACCAATTAAATAAATCATGGCTCTGCAGATAACGTCCAAGCTTAATAAATGTTTAATCAGTTTAAGGTTTTTTAACTATGTTGGTATCTTCCCCGTCTCTGGTTGAATTAATAAAATACTACTTCTGCCGGTTCTTCTCTGGACAAATTAAGTTTTGCATTCCCCGGCAAATTGGAGGGGAAAAAAAACACCATGTGTACAAAACAAACCAACTTGATATATATATATATATATATATATATATATGATTAGATAAATAAGCTGTAGATAATAGTAACATGATTAGACGCAATTAATCATAGGTTTGGTAGAATCAAGAAAGAGGGAAATTGGAATGATGTGCTAGTTTGGCGGGTAATCATAGATGTAATCCTGGACATGATTGCTTTTATTTAATTGGATCATAATTTTATTCTAAATTTGAACTATCTCCCTCTCTTCACCAACCTCACAATCATGAACCGGTCCATTTCTTTATTGCTAGCTACTACTCCATACCTACGCACTAGGAATTAAGACTTGGTTTGAAAATTACAAATAAATCACTGAAAGTTATTATTATTATTATTATTATTTTTTTCGTGCGTTCAAAGACGATGTTTGATTCAAATTTTCGTGTAATTTTAAAATCTTGATTTGATTATCAATCATTGCTCTCCATCGACTACAATTAAAAGTTCGGCATCATCTTAGTACTGCAATCAACAACATTGCGTAATTTCATAATATATAAATATATCAGCGCAATCGTTTTAACATAATTTTACCAACTAATTAATATAATGGCTTGTAATTTACATTTATTGATAATTATTTCATTATAATAAATCTATATACAACTAAATTTAATCTTGACGATGATGTGATACAAGCTAAGTCAATTTTTTTTTCCCTAAATGAGATTTGAGCCTTTTTTTTTTTTTTTCAACTAGTCGCTTTGTCTAATAAGTCAAATTTTCATTCTGTATCTAGATTTTTATAATAAAAAAAAAAGCCTTTCGATCTGTTTTTGTTATTTGAGCTAATTGCTAATTTGTTATTCTGCTCAAAATTTTTAATTAATTCACCATAAATTAATTTTTATATTAATAGACATACATCATTTGTATTTTAAAAAATAAAAATAATTTTATCTAATTACATATTTAATTTGACAAAAAAAATTAATTAAAAAAATAAATCAGAAATTAATTCAAATAATATGGATAGATTTAAAGGATTTTTGGATTTAGAAATAGATTGAAAATTAGTTCCGTTATATAAGTATGTGTGAAGATGGAAACCCACAGTTATAGATTTCCGCAAATGATCATTTGGCTTTGGTAAACACTTTATATGTGATTGATTGGAACCAAAACTCCACCTAATAAAAACATCTTCCCGGTAAAGACGCATTAGAGAGTTCTTAATACAAAACCATAAGTACAGTTTTGGTAATGACGATGCAATAGTGATGTAAGATGTTAGATTTTGATAGTGGCTTAGCTGGTTGAAATCTATGATTAGTTTCTTGGAACTGTAGGTTACATGGATTTTTATAAATCTTCTAATCATGACATGAATGGACTGGACTGTTTGCAATCTTAGAGCTGTAAAATTCATCTTAATTGTTTTACAGTTATAAATATTAATCATAACTCATCATGTATTTGCAGTGGCTTCATCAAGAATAATAAAATTAAATAGGTTAAAACACATTAATTAATAGTATACTTTTTGTGATTCAAATTTAATCTAATCCATTTAATAATTATTTTGTATTTAATAAATAAATAAAAGTGTAAATATTATTTTTTTCAATAATAAGAGATATTTTTGAGTTAGTTTGTGTATCAATTAAAAATAATTTTTTTTACAACTAATTTTAAAATATAAATATTTGTAACTACCACAGCACTAATCTTAAATCCAAATACTATCATTTTAATTTTTCGGTCGTGAAAGATACAAACTTGTCGCCATCTCATCAGTTTGGAAAGTTTTCCTCTCCATGTTATTAACAGTTTGATATGGTCTGACGAGTTTTGTCCAAATGAAACCAACAGATATGCATTACATGCTATTTTTCGTATTCACATACAAAGCATAAATGGTAGAGTAGTTGTGGTGTTTCAAAGAGATTCGTAAACATTACCCTGCTTGTCATTATAAAAAAAGATTTCATTTGGTCCTGTATTCTTCTAATTTTTTTTAGTCTCTCATACATATATAGTTTTTTTTATTGAGATTGTTTACTATTCGTTTTGTATTGAACATATCGCTTTGCTTACATGTGTTAGTTTGTATGCCTACTTGTCACCTTTCTGTCATTGCACGGAATTGAATTCTTTACGACGTGCAATTCAATAACACTTCTGTCACATGTTGATTGCAAAAAATATAAATATGTATAATGTATGAAGTCGTCACTCAGTTTTTAAAACGTGAAAATTAATAAAAATTTAGCATTGATATTAAGAGTTCTAAGGAAAGAAATTGATTACACGACTAGAGAAGGCTACAATCACCTTAATGTGCCCTCAACATGAGATTACCTTATATTTCTAGCTTAAAGAAATTCATTCATACAATTACCTTTTTTATCTTGATTTCCGTGTTTAATTATTTGAGTCTTTTCTAATTAATCCTAAATAAGATGATTTGAAGACCGAAAGAAGACTCGGTCTCTCACCTAAAATGTCATTGGGCTATTGAAGCTCGCTTGGAAATATAAAAATTAGGACTAAAAACCCATTACACATTAAATCATAGTCTCATAAAAATGCATAACAACAACAACAACAACAACAACAACAACAACAATAAAATAAAATAATAAAATGAACATGAGCCTAGGTCCAAATTCACCCGCCAAACCATAAAAAATAAAATAAATAAATAAAACTACAAGTTCATAATAACTTAAAAAATGGATGTTGGCCTTAAGTCAATATCACCTTGTCATATCACTTTAAAATATTAAATTGGGTTCAACGCTAAATTAAGAGCTAAATTTGCGAGAAGAAAAAATTAGTACTACCATAAAAATAAATTAAACTTAACTATAAACAATAGCAATAAAAATAAAATAACAAGAAAAGGTCCATCATTGGAACAAAGTCGAGTCTCGAGTCCTAAACCTACATAGAATAACCTAGACCAACATCACATAAAATAAACACATAAAGTTTAAGACATAAGAACATGTAAAAAATCACAGATTACATAAAAACAATTTCATGAAAAATAAAATAGCCAATAGGCCTCCACAAGATCCTTGACCTATAAATTCATATTTGGCTTATTTTAATTAAAAAAAAATTACTAGCTTATTGCTAGTTTCATCACTAATCGATAGTTCCCGAGGAACTTATTATATAAAAACATAAAAATATTATATAATATGTCAAACAACCTTTTTTTTAATTGAAAATAATGATAAAAAAAATATAAAACCAAAATAAAACAAGATTAAAACTAAAATAAAAAATCACTAATCTACTATTCCTAATCCGATTGAACATTAAAACACATCATAAATCAAAATAACATGAATTTAGATCCTTTTTGGTTTTGTCACATATAACGTATTCAAGTTTTCAAATCTTTCAATTACACCCCTAACCAAACATTTTTCATTCAATAATCATCCAAATATTCATCTTCAATTACATAATTTCACATATAATGTATTCAAGTTTTTAAAGCTTTCAATTACACCTAACCAAACATTTTTCATTCAATAAATATTAAAACACATCATAAATCAAAATAACATGAATTTAGATCCTTTTTGGTTTTGTCACATATAATGTATTCAAGTTTTCAAATCTTTCAATTTCACCCTAGCCAAATGTTTTTCATCAATAATCATCTAAATATTCATCTTCGGTTACATAATTGACCCGACCATCCTATGAAACCGAGAAGTAATCGAGCAAAATCATAAAATTTGGATGAACATCGGATAAGAAATGTGAAAGTGCAAGAAGTAATTACCTAAATCGGTAATTCGAGGACTAAACTCGAATCTAAAGTGCACCACATATGAAAGAACTTTGAACGACGAGTGTGGCATCCTCGATGATCGAAATTCAACAATTCTTGTTGGGTTAGAACCATCTTGGATATAATCTTTTTCTAGTTTGATACGTATAAATTAGAGATGGATAGGAGGCAAGAGGTGATCGGATCTTTGTGGCTATTATTCTCTCTCTCTTTCTCTCTCTTGCTAGGGTTTTACGTTTTTTATATGGTAGTCTTTTTCTCCCTTTATGTGTGTGTATGTATATGCATAGTATATATAAGGATGCTTCCAAGGTTAACCTAGGATTTTTTTTTCCTATTCTAATTTTTTTCCTTTTATTATTAATCGGGCTTAACCCAATGCCTAATACCTAACCAAATATCGATCCAGGTCCAATTCTTCCTTTTTCTTTTTTCTTTTTTCATTTTTCTTAATTTTTCTTTTTTATCATTTTTTTTTGTATTTTTTATAGGGGTAAAAATATGGTGATGACAACTCGCCTCCTCTTTACAATGCTTACGCGTCAAAGATGTATGAAGACAAGTCATTGAACATCTTAACTTAGTGCGCTTATAAAAAAGGGATGTGATTAAAAAAAATGACAAATTTAAAGAAATGAACCACTT